GCATGTTTGAACGTATTTGCAGCAGTAAATGTGGCTGTTTGGCCACTGACGTTGCCATAACAACACCTGAATTTAAATGTGCAACCTCTTTTTGTGACAGATTTTTGCAAGAAATTATAATTCTTCTGAATGATATTCCTATTGACAGCTAGTTTCTATGTGAACATTATGAGATGGACAGCCAGAGAGAATAAATGAAAAACAGTTATGAAATACTATATGACAAAACAAGAATACAGTTTAAGTGATTTGTAAAATATCCATACAGAAAAATCTGTTTACAGTTCTGTTTCATATGGGTGTTGAGAGATGTATCCATAGATCTCTTAATTTTGCTCTCAAAGTGCACCAGATTGATGCTTTTAACTTATATTATATATATATATATTTATTTAAATCTTCCCGGGGAGCATGCCCCCGGACCCCCCTAGAGGAGGTGAGGACCCCCCTAGAGTATGTTAGGTCCACGGTGTTTACATGCTTATTTATACAATATGTGTGCTTATGCTAACATCATAAGACAAAAGTTGGTTCCGTGTTGTGTGTAGTGAGAACGCGCTAGAGTGAGGGGGGCCCCCAAGCCAAAGCTCGCTTAGTGCCCCCAAAAGTCTAGGGCCGGCCCTGGTCTTAAGATACGCTTTCATTTTGAAATTCCTTTGGCTGTCACCATTTCCGTCCAAGTGTATATATTTTACACAGGACCAACCCATAAGATTGTGAAATAAAATGTCAGCTCCCTTTTTTTTTTTATAAACAAATAAAAAATGATTATGTCAAATGTGAGTAAGATATCATCTCAAATCGAGCCCCTAAATCGGAAATTGTGGCAGAATTTGTGATTCAAGCAAAGGATGGTATTGTTGTCCAAAGAATACAAAAACATATTGTTGGTGTTAAAAATGTGATAACACCCCTCAATATACCTTATCATTGTATCTGTCAAATAAGTCCAGCCGAAGTAAAACATCGATATACTCAAGTAAACTACCAAAAAAAATTGGTACAGCACTAGTTACAGATAATGGCAAATCTAGCCGTGCATGCCAACAGTTAACGTTCTCTCTGCAGTTGTACATTGTGTCATTGGTTATCAGACTTGCCAGTGGTTTGCTCTGATGCCCGGGTGCGTTCCGGCCGTCACCGAGGTCGACCACGATGCTGCACCAGACCCGGGGTCCAAACTGGCAGCCGCAGTGCGCCAGCCGCCAGTGGGAGGTGTACGTCCCCTCCATCACGGGGGCCACAAAGGCCACACTGACCACTCCCACTTGTCCAGGCAGCAGCAAGGGGACCGGCACCTCCTTCCTCTCCTCTGACGCCAGGCCGAGGTTTCCCCACATGAACACTAGCTGGGTGCACGTACACACATACACAAAACACAAAATAGGAATACACATGCGAAAAAGGCACAAGGACAACAGCATGCAGCCAAAGTCACTCAGCAGAAAAATAATAAACTCAAGTGAGGGACACCCACACACACACTCTCAAACAATGACGAAGACTTAAAAACTTAAATAACAAAACTGAATTAACTGAATTCAAACAAAATTGAGGTCTCAGACGGAAAGGGCATTAGTAGGATTAGGCTTGGAAATACATTTTAGCTGGTGTTAGTGGATAAGAAGCTGAGTAGGGACTCAAAGTGGGAGTGAAGCAGAGGGGCCTGTCCTCTCGGCGGGGTGGAGCAGTACCTTAGTCTCTGAGGTCCAGCTGATAGTCCCCGAGTTCCTCATCTTCCAGTATTTGATGAACTTGGTAGCAGGCTCCAGACGGGTGCCGTCCGGCAGATTTTCATCCAGAAACAAGGCAGCCATAGTAGGAACCAAGGACGTGTTCGAGACCCCGGGACCCCTAGTTTCAAGTGTACAGAGCATTGTTGAAAATAGCCCTGGTTTCTTATAATACCCATCTGTTTTGTTCTCTATGAATCAAAAAGCAGGACCCCCAGATTTTTTTTGCAGCTCAAAAGCAATTTTTCTTAGAAAATCTATGAAGCAGCAGCAGCAGCAGTTTCACATTGAGGTAGTTCCAACATTTTCCACCACCCCAGAGCAGCCAGCGACACACTCATACAGACTAGATTACAAAGATGGCATATTTTGATTTCTTTTCTTGGAAAAAAAGGACTTTTATTGCATCCATGCTGGGTTTGAGGTACCCAGCACTGGCGGACGCCCTTCCCACATGGCGCTTACTCTGGACTGGAGGTCTGGGGATCAGGGGCCGGGGCAGGGACGGGACCTTGGGCTGGGGCTGGACCTGAGGCAGTTTCTGTGGCAGCAGGGGGGGACAGGGCTGGGACCTGCGTGGACGTGGAGGCCATGTTTGTCAGGTTGGCTCTGCCTGAGGTAGAGGGCCCACTCCACTGCAGCCCCCTCTTCTCCAGTCTCAGTTTCTTCTTGATTTCCTTCACTTCAGCTCTGAGCTGCCTCCTTTCAGCTTTGAGGCGCTGTCGCTCGGCCTTGCGCACAGTCATGTCTCCTCGCCTTGGGAACCTGGTTTGAAATGTCATCAGGAACACCTATTTGTTGACTATCAAAAGTTTATTTTCCAAGAACAAAACACATACACACTTATTATTCATTATTTACGGTAATCTAGCTGCTAAAACATGTTTGCAGTCTTGCTCTGCGACTATTTCATATATGTTTTCCTCCAATAATGCAGAAGAAGTGATAGCAAAAAGGGCTAGCACTGTTGCAAGTAAGAATGTCTTATAGTTTCAAGAAGTGGGAAGATTGATCCTCGGTCTTGGGCGTTTACCTCAACTCTCCCGACATGCCATGCTCAGGGATGGAGAGAGGTGTCTTGGTTCTCACGAGGTTGTGGCTGGGGTCATGGCTGTGTCTGCACATCTCACACAGGATGCAGGACGGGCAAACACTGGCAGGACACAAGCCAAGAAAAAGCAATTATATGGATACTCATAAAGATGTATCAGAGCACGGAATGCAGGAACAAGTTTGACGTAAACAAAGTGCAAACTTCGAAAAAGGCCCAAAGGTCTAAAGGACCACTAAACATTGTGTATGACAATATCTGTGACATGTTAAGATCATCTCTGTTGACTCATCAGGTGAAACATCACTTAGCTCCTTCTCATTGTATTATCATGTGTTCCTACCTGCACTTGTAGGCCCCTTCAGAGGTGAGTTTGTTGCAGCTGCTGCAGTTGGGGGTGTAGCCCAGGGACCCACTTGAGGTGGAGGGGCCCGGCCCTGGCCCTAAAGGACCGCCACTGGCTTCAAGGGGCCCATCCGGTGATTTGTGGGTACAACACTGGCCAGAAAAGTCATTGCACATCCTTTCCACCACCTCTTTCACCACCTCATCTTTAAACTATGGAACAAGAAGGGGGGGAAAAAGAGTTTGATTTATATTATTAAAAGCTGGAGAGACAACAATATTAAGTTGAAGTTGATTTGTTTTAATTGAAATCTTACCTTCTCCATGTACGATCTAAACCACATGGGAGGTGGTTCATCTTCTGGCTTGTTCCCCTTGTTGTCCTTTACTGTGACCTGTAACAGAATGAATCAGACTTACATCAAGGAGGTGTGAAGTTCATTTTCTAGCATATTTGAGTTGAGCTTGACTTTCATTATTAGACACAAACTGACCACACAATTCCCTGTAATATGTCCATCATTGCCAGATAAATACATAGGCAATGAAAGACTGTTATCCGTCCTTAACATTAATTGGGCTTTGCTGAATTGCATGGTCCCAACCGGATTCGAACCCAGGTCTTTCGCATGGGGACCAATCAAACAGAATACAAATAAATAAAAGGTTGTTTATATCAAATTGGAATCTAAAGTTTATGGCTGAAGCTTAAACATATAATGTACAGCCCTATAAAAGCTATTTAAATAATAATACTACAAGAGATGAAACACAGCGGGTGCTTAAGATGTGTTTCTAGACTGTTACTGTGCCTAACAATGCCAAAAAGACGCTGTAAACACTGCAGGTGTGAGAGCATGTAATGAGTAGAAAGAGGAAGGTGATGGGAGGAGGAGAATCTGTTTGTTTCCTTACAGCTTCTCGCTCCGGGGTGACCTGTGTGCCTTTATCCACCGTTTTGACCCTTGATGGATACGGAGGAGCAGGCCGGAGGTCTCCTTTCAGCTCCTTCACCTCCGTCTTCAGCGGGCCTCCACAGGCCTGACCCTTCATCTTGTACACGTTCATGTGCAACTGGTTCCCCTGCTTCTCTGCACTCTGTGTGGAAAACAAGAATGAAACACATACCACAGGAGACACAGAAGTATGAACATTTGATACATTGAATAAAAACAATAAGCTAATATCTTGACTATGCCAAAAATAAACTTATAAGGATAAAATATAAAAACACAGTGTAGTTGTAGTTGGCACAATTCCCCTTTAAATATCTATTTAAACAACTATTGGAATGCTGCTAGACTGGTTTATGTCTTAAGGCAGGTTAAACAATACATGTGATGTGTCACCTCATATTTTGTCACATGCCTGGAGAGTAACAGTCACGCAATGCAATATTTTTTTATTTTCATTCACGCAATAATGTTTGACTGAATTCTACTTCCACTACAATCGTCACTTGATTCCCATATCCTGCATGATCTCTTCAATGTTCTAATGACTTGTGAAATGTGCCTTTAAATCTCATCTTGTCTTTAATATGCGACAGAAATAAAGCAATGCCCTGTACCTTGATGGCTTCTTCATATTCATCTGAAATAAAAACACAACAACAGAACATTGATAAGTAACAATTAGTTGCACACACATATTCATGTAAAGTACACATATTTCCACTTTTTATATGAATTATTTATAATTATTTGTATATTGTTGGTAAGTATTGTGTATTTTCTGTTGTCGTCTTCGTTATTCCGCAGTAAGAATTGTAACTTTAAAAAAAGATCATATCAGGTATCATTGTTGCTCATATTCTACTTCAAATACATTATGAAATGAAAAGATAGGCAAACAAACGTTTTCTTACCTTGACTGTTTATACAAATCTGAAAGAAAAGAGTGAATGAGTTAGGAATATGTCAATGGATTACGCCTAAAGATCATGCAGGTCAAACATTATGATCATTTTATCCTAAGTCTAAAAACCAGTGCTGGAAGAAGAATAGAAATACTGTTTTACAGGTGAAATTCATGCATTCAAAATGTTACATAGCATAAATATTATCAGCAAAATGTAAAGTAAGAGGACTTACTGTATAAGAAATGGATGTATATCACGATAGAGAAAGGCCCAATTCAGAATAATAAATTGTATAAATGATTGTCAGTGACACATTAGTGTCCACATCTCTTCAGTGTTGTGGCTGGTTAATGTGGGGCCAGTTGTCATAACTCTATATATTGAGTAGCCAAATATATAAATCAGTTATTAGTTGGTTTTATGTTTCGTATTAATAATCTAAATCTGGAAAGTATTTGTATAAAAGTGGTTCAAAATGTAAACAATGAAGTAGAAGTACCCAAAAAGTGTACTCCTTTACATTACTTGAGTACATGTATTAAGTTGCAGTTCACTACTGCTCCCTTACTTAGCTAATAACAATCTTACTTCAGTTTGAACTAAAGTATTCTTATGTTTGTTAACAAACTACACGGTTTATTTATATGTTGTCCTATTAATCAGAATCTAAGTAACTCAACCTTTTAAATAAATGAAGTGAAGTAGAAATGACTATATTGCCTTCCCAAATGTAGACATACAATAACATACATGTACATAACCAAGTATGGTGCACTTACTTATAGTAGGCTACTTAAGTACATTTACCAAGTAACATTCCTTCAGTGGTAAACACAACAAAACGGACACATACAGTATTTGTATACACTCCCTTACCTCTTCATTATCCTCATCAAAGTATTTGATTTGAAAGTGGTTGATCCCAAAAGACGCTTTGATCTGAAATGTATACATTTAAATAATTGATTATCAAACCCCGAGGTAAAATATATTTTTTAAATCAGATTTGTGTTCCTCACAAGTGTAAGGAAAACATCAATAATGGCAAGCCGAGAAATACCTTTACAGTACAGCTAGTTACTGTAATTGTCCTGTAAAACGCATAATATCAATCCTAACCCTCATATTCAGGGTAAGCATTAAACAATAACCACGTATGAACATTTTGTCGCAACAGTATTGCCTGTCCTTCAGGTGGTCTATTGTTTACGTGTCTAGGCCATGTCTGGGCCTGCTCTTCACCAAACTGCGCCAGCGTTTAGCCAGCACGCTCAGCTAGCAGCAGCTTACCCAGGCTTCAACGGACTCCCACTCCAGTTTGTCCAAATCCTGAGCCAGAAATCTCTTCACGTTCCCACGGAAATTTACTTTAATCGTAACAGGCAGCCCCATGTCAGCCGTTTATGAGCATATAGTGGCTATCATTTGCGGTGACACCGGCCTATTTGATCCCTGTTGCCCTCGACTGTCTTTTCTTGTTTACATCGTCAGCTGCGTCGAGAAAAATACGGTGACGTTTTCGCGCAGGCGCAGTCCAAACATCGAGTCCCTTTCTCCTGTCGCGTGTCAACAACGTCATCTTTGAGCTCACAAAGTGTGGCTGACAGGTAAAATAAGCCACACACACGTTTCAAAGGCCAATTTAATGCTATTGGAACACTCTTTTCTTTACCTTTTTGATCACATAAGATGTCTTCGCTCCTCAAGGTGGACAAGGAAATTAAAACCAAGGTAAGGTTTGTGTTTCTGGAAAGCCCAGTTGAAGTTATACGACGTGTTGTTGCTATTGCCTGCTAGCATGTTAGCCACGTTTTGTAGCATGATATGGGAACTCAAGCTAACAGCAGCTAGCTATCTAAAAGCGGCTAACCGGCTTGTTGCTCGCCTGTTGGAATGCACCTGTCAAACCTCCTAACAGGTGTTGATACACAAAGACAATACGCTTCTTGTGTGGAAGTTAACGTTGCAGCACTGTTTGTGAAGAGGACATGCATTATATAGGCCTGAGCTAACAAGTTAGCCACTTAAACAAGCTGCCGTTCTCATACCTGCGTTATGTTAACAAGGGATATAGCTTTAAATTGTAATAGTCTACTGGCACACTTGCTACACCTAGACTGTGTATGGTCATAAGTAAAAAAACAGTGAATTTATTGATCATCCCAAACCTTACTTACCTACAAGTATTCATCAACAACATTAACTAAATGTATCGTATTCTTTGTGCAGTAAAATGTTCTAATCATTTTAACTTTAAATTATATTTTTGCTAATATTACTAATGCATTGATGTGTATGTTGCGTTTACCTGCTGTTGAAGTTTAAGGTTATGTACATTTGTGGACCCTTGTGTTTTTTGCAGGTCGATGCTTTCAGGGAACGTATTACTTCAGAAGTAAGTAGTGTCACATGAAAAAACACAGCAAACATACTGCTATCAAAACTATTCTGGTTTACAAGTATCTAAAATATTGCATTTCTTTTAGGCAGAAGATCTAGTTGCATGCTTTTTCCCGAAGAAGTTGCTGGAACTCGATCACTTCTTAAAGGTCAGTTATACTGTATGTCCATTCAGCTGAACACACATTGATGAGCCTTAGATCTGTGCACATCTTGGTTAGAAGTGGGAGATTTGGGGTTTTTCATTTACAAGGAATTTGCCTTTGTGTGTAACAATAAACAACATACATGGCAAAAAGGGTTTTTGACTAATCAAGTAAGTAACATCAAGGTGTTTCATTAATCTCATCCAAAATGTATACAAAATCCATGAAGCAGATTTGTCATTACAAACTTGGAAAAAGACACTCATACAAAAGGTCAAAACTGAAAAAAATTGTTTGTCAAAATGATTTTTCAGGCAATACATTTTTTATAGTTCTACAGTATATATCTTTATATCACCAAACCCTTGATCTTGCCAAGAGACCGATAATTAGTTATAAAATAACAGCTAGTAAAATTGTTGATTTTCAGGATCCAATCATAAACATCGCTGATCTGAAGGAGATACACTCAGAAATAAACCTGACTGTGCCAGACCCCATTCTGCTCTCAAACCTCCAGGACGGATTAGAAGCGGTGAGTCTCCATTTTAGAGAATAATTCAATCCTCAATAACTAATGTGTGCAGGGCAGAGGGGAGTGTGTAGCCTGATCCTGTTTCTATCTTTTTCTCAGCAAAATGCCAAAAAGAAAAAGCTTGAGGATGGAGGTGGGGAGGACAAGGGTGAGTACAAGACTATTAACTAGGTCAAATAGATTTAAAGGGAAATAATTCTACTTTTCTGAATTGCAACGTTAATATTCCCCCCTCCTTTCTCTCTTCCCTGTGTAACGCAGTGACTGGCACCAAGGTCTTTGTCATGCCTGGTGGGATGATGAAGAGCAACGGAACCCTTGTGGATCTCATTGAAAAAGTCAAACCAGAGATCAGGACACTCATAGAGAAATGTAACACAGTAAGTAATGTCTCTTATATCCTGTCCCAGGGTCGTACTCCTGCGTCAGCAGCTGAATGTTAAAATACCAACAGTAAACCTACATGAGTTGATACAACTAGACATTTGTAAAACAAGTCTAAGACTAATATAAGGTTATTGATGAATATGGTGTGAAAACTATTCTGAGTTGCCAGGCTTGTCTTAATTCAAAACATACACTTACACTTGCTAAAGAGACTTCTAAAAGGGCAAGCTATGTGTCTAACTGGTTGAACATCTTTTCTAGCCTAAACGTATTCACATTCAACCTGTTAATGTAGAAAGTTATTGTTAGTATTTAGTGGCCCCCGTTTCCAGACAGTTACTGCAACTGTTGTAGACATGACCAATCTACGTCTATACTTCACGGTGAGCCTTCCAGATGTTGCATCTTTTTGTTCTTATCATTTTTTTTGTTCTTCTGTAGGTCAAAATGTGGGTTCAGCTGCTAATCCCCAGGATAGAAGACGGCAACAACTTTGGAGTGTCAATCCAGGAGGAGACGGTAGCTGAACTCAGAACAGTTGAAGGGGAGGCAGCATCTTACCTTGACCAGATATCAAGGTCTTTCAAATTCCTAACCATATTGTTTTACAAAAAGCTGGTTAATGTCAAATGACTTAGATGCTACAGTTTATTTTCCTGTGTTTGATTGTTAACTTGTCCTTTATAATTTACAAAATTCTTTCTGGGATTTTTAGCAATGTTAACTGTCTTCTTTACTTCTAGATACTACATCACAAGGGCAAAGCTCGTTTCTAAAATAGCAAAATATCCACATGTGGTAAGTAAATATTTTTGTTAGGACTTTTTGTCTATGAAAAAGGGTTGATTTTGGTAGAGTTTCAACATTTTTAAACTGCATTTTACTTTAGTGTTGGTTCTCGACACCTTGGCATGCTGATAACGTCACGATAAGTGTTTTAATGAATCTTTTGTGCATGTGAATGCGGTTTTATTACAGGGCGAGAGTGGCTGTCCCTCCCACAAACAATGAAAACTTCTATAGAGAGAATGTAAATACATTCAATGGCTCTCACTGGCAAATTGTATAAATACATTTCAAAAATGGGTTTGTTACCCTGAACATAAAATATAAAGTGGTAAAGAAAACAGAAGTTGTCTGGCCCTTGTGAGATTGTGTCTAACTTAAGGCGAGACACGGCAGGCAAAAACATCGTTTTTCAAGCACTGGTCAATTTTGAGATTTTGTGCTATTTTGATTCTATAACATGTTTTCTTTCAGGCTTTTGGAAGGAAAACGTACAAAATACACATTTAAGTGTTTATTTGACTATAGTTTGTCTATTTGCGTCAGTAGATTTCTCCTAAATTCACCAAAAGTTAGCTTTCTAACGTAACATACAGGACTGTCTCAGAAAATTAGAATATTGTGATAAAGTTCTTTATTTTCTGTAATGCAATTTAAAAAAACAAAAATGTCATACATTCTGGATTCATTACAAATCAACTGAAATATTGCAAGCCTTTTATTATTTTAATATTGCTGATTATGGCATACAGCTTAAGAAAACTCAAATATCCTATCTCTAAATATTAGAATATCATGAAAAAGTATACTAGTAGGGTGTTCAACGAATCACTTGAATCGTCTAATTAACTCGAAACACCTGCAAGGGTTTCCTGAGCCTTGAAAAACACTCAGCTTGGTTCAGTAAACTAAATCACAAGTATGGGGAAGACTGCTGATCTGACTGCT